TGAGTGAAACGTCACGGGGTTAAGGGATAGTGGATAGGAGAATTCAAAAGGACTTAGGAGAAGAGACCGCTGTACTTTAGAGAATCCGAATGCACTTTCACTATCTGACATGTTTATGATGCGCCAGCGGACGTCATGAATGTGCGTCTGCTGCTGTGGGGAAACTATGGAAACTACAGTTTTCTATAGCGGACTACAACATGGATGTATAATAAGAAGGAGGGACTACTGTAAACTCATCTAGAGACTCTGCACCGTGCTCTGATGCTGTTGTTTTATGCTTTATGAATGTGGACAACAGAGAATATTGTTCATGACCAAAGTTAGAATTGAAATAAAAAAGGAAAGTGAAACTTATACTCGTCACCCTCTCCCTCCGGTCCACATTAATACAAACAATCCCAATACGTATGATTGTATGAACTATGAAAAGATCTTAAAATCAATACAAATGTATTTATTATAAACGTTAGTCCTTAACATCTATCATTGTGTATATCACTATTCAAACATCTTTTAAAAGTTGAACAAACTCCACACAGCTCAGTAAAGATTGAAATGTTGACTTTATTTGATCATTTCAGTAAAACCTAACGTTCATATTTCTCTTTTTGATTATAATACTGATGAACGTTCAGAACAAAGCACTTTGGCAACTTACCACATACGTTTTAAAATGCTTAATAAGCACCGTAACACTCATGATATAATTTCTCGGTCATAATCGGTTGTTTCCGTGAACGGCCGACTGTTTAGTGACGGCAAATGCTGCGGCTGCAATGCATTGTGGGGTAGCATTTTCTCCTCTCCTTTCGTCAAGGGAGGTCCAGTGGTTCCTAAGCTAAAGGAGGTTATAAAGGAAGTTTGAAACCTCCTTTCCTTTCATTTGGAGAATTGGAACGGCACTTAACATGGCTACCACTGACGTACTTCCGGGTCATTTCACTTGGTTAGGAAGGTTCCTAAACTAAATGGACTATTGGAACGCAACCCAGGCCTGTCAGATTATTTTTAAAAGAAGGATGAAAAGGTTAAAGGGTGAATAGAAGTAATTTATTTAGGAAACAGTCATCGATTTTGCCTTTTAATTCTATAGAGTATACTATAATAAAATACATTCAAACTATCGACCAAAAGTCACCTACTAAACCCAATTTACTCCAATTAATCATTTCACATTTCCGACAGGTAATTCCCATAAATTAGGTGGAAAAACTTTAATTTATGCACAGTTGTGAGTTAAAACTGTGAGGCCCTATTAACATTGTTCAATTAGGCACTAACTGCAGTTTGAATAGTCATGAGTATATGCTAAAAAAAAAAAACAACTAAATAACCAATGTGAAATAAAAAACCAAAAGTTAATATAGCAAAAACAGCTAAATGTAATATGAACTGTGCCTGTGGTGTAAATGTCGGAACCAAATTGAACAGTTAAGAGACATTAATTATCACATAAGAATTTGTTAAAATGAATAACATGTTTTTGTATCAACACGTATATATGAAATTATTCTGTAACAATAAATGGACTGTCATCTTTCTGGTGCATTCATACAGCCACTAAAATAAACGTATTCACATTGTTGCTCAACTAAAACTGTTTTACAAAAAGGTTTCTACAAAATAAGATTCTCAACAAATTATATAATAGCCTTAGCAATTAATTATTACATTAGGCACTTCATTAAATAAAGAAAAGGAAAAGAGACTCTTATTTGCAGCCCAAATGACTAGTTAATAAAAAATCTAAACAAGAGTTAAAACCTTAATGTGTTTCTGTTTTTCTGTCAGCTCTCATGTTGCTGGAGAGGTTTGCACAGCCGGACAGCTCCAGTCCTGGGCGCAGTACGTCACTTTACCACAAGGTGGCGTTAGAGGGAGCAGCCTGCAGGTTACTCAGAGTAGAGAGGAAACGCTCCTGCAAAACAAGATCATAGCATGAGTAAACTCAACTACATAATGACATAGTATATGCACAATACATGTAAATGTGTTGTGTGAAGTCTTACTGAAAGAGAGTCCCAGTAAGCTCATCAACAAGGCCACCTGAAACAATCCAACACATGCAACATTTAAGAAGTTGCTTAAAGATTGAACTATACAAGCATAATGAGTATTTCTCAGTGTTTACCTGGTGAGCAGATCGTGTCGCACAGTAAGGGGCAGATGTAGCAAGATGAGCAATCCTGGAACAAAAAAAATAAAGTTTATCCCAATTGTTTCCTTTAATGTGTGTTATTGAGAGTGTTTTGCACACTGCACAGTGAAGACTTACTTGGCACTGCTCACAGTGATCCGACTCATCGTCATCTTCACACGGGCATTTTTCACAGTCTGTAGAGCAGTGCTGAAAGAGGAAGGAAGACACACAACGTACAGTTATTATCTGTTTCTATTTCTCTAGAAGTTATTTCGTCATGAGATCCATTGAAGTCTCTTACCTCACAGATGGTGCACACACTGCACAGAGAGCCGGAGCGGTACTGCAGCAGGTCGGTGGCGGGCTCTTCAATCGTTTCATTTACTGCGTCATTGACTTCATCTGCATAGAGTTAACAGAGTCACAGCAAATTAGCTGGGCCAATACATATTAGATTAAAGGTGACCTATCATGCAAAATGCACTTTTGTACGTCTTTTCTACATGAATATGTGTCCCCGTTGTTCCAGGGAACTCACCAAGTGTCAGAAAACACAACCCTCTCTATTTTCCTCCATACCCAAATCTCTTAAAAAGGGGCTGCAACGGATCTGATACAGACTGATCCAGATTTGAACACTTTTATGACGTCACAGAAGTGGCGCTACGGCTATTGGGCCAACTCCACCAATCAGGAGGGGACAGCCAGGGACATTGCCGTTCGAAAGTGCTGGAGACGCTGTAGTACATATGCCAGGCCTGTGGATGGTGCTGTTCTCACATAATCAGCCCATGAAAAGACAGTGTTAAATTGAGCGAAATGAGGAATGGCTAAAATGCATGATCTGTTTGGTATTTTGAAAAATAAAAAGTATAAATATGCCTTATATAGGTATGGTCCTACACTATATTATTCAAATATAGCATGATAGGCTAGCTATAGGCTTTTGCTGTGTGTACTGTATCTCGGCCAATAAGTCTACCCTTTAAAACCCTAATAAAAATGGTGTACCCATAGAACAAAACTGCACTGCCAATATCGTTTCAAGGTCTCTAGGACATTTGGATCAGTTTAAAACATATGGTTGTGTTTAGAAATCCAATATTGTTGGTTAATATAAGCATGTTACATGTTATGTGTGGTAGTTAACTTTCCAAGTTTAAACAAGTCAGGGTTGTTTTTTGTTTTACACACAACACTAGTATCGGCCTCCTTCGTATGTTTGACCCCTACATCTACCCCAAACTTTCCCATTGAAATTGATAAGAAACTTATTTGTGATAGGTCAAAGATTAAGGTAATCCAGGAGATAAATCTAATAAAGACTGCATAAGTAGCTTGCATACAGAGAGAGTTCATTCAGTTATTCATTATCCCCAGAGGATGAATTCTACCGACTTTGGTGATCCCTTTAGTTTCCATCCAGAAAAATAAATGTGTGATCCTAGAGAAGAAACTGTAAACACTTTGATCTCTTGACTGTTCTTGTACTCTTGAATCATCATGAGGTTAATATTTAAGTTAGTCCAACACTTTGATTTATGACCAAGTACCTACAAAACTAGTGGCATTCCTATGGGCCTTGGCAGTATGCTGATTTGTGTGGAGTGTTCTCTGGTTAATAATAGCATGTTTGGACGCTCAACTGACACCGCGTACATTAAAAACACTATATGTTCTAAACATGAGCATGCAAGTATTAACGCTGACAAAACATTTGCATTTGGCTGGAGTAGACGCACAGAACTGCTAGCATGGCTGCAGACTCTTCTTACATTGCTAAATCCTGCTTGGTGTGTATTTGTGTATCTTGGTCACAGCTCATTATGTACCATATGTAGGGGACCTGCATCAAGATTGGTGGTTATGTTATGTGTTTCTGAACAAAAAACAAACAAAACTTCAAGTATCGTTTAGCGAGCATTTCATGCATGAGCATCAGGTTGTGGATATGTCTTGTTTCCATACAGATGATATTGAATCATTATAAAAGCTCATTCGTGAGGATAAGTATTTTGTTTAAGAGCATTTGGTAAAGCTGCTATCTATTAATACCCAAATGCTTTAGTCAATCGACAGAAACATGTCAACAACTTTTTTTTGATAATGGATTCATCTTTACAAATGTTTTTCATTTAAAAATGGCAGAACTTTTTTCATCTTTCAGCCTTTAAGATACGATGTCCTGCTTTTCTCTGTTTCATATTATGTTAACTGATTGTCTTTGGTATTGGGCTGACAAAACAATAACAACAATTATACGTCACCTTGAACTAAATACACGTTTTACTATTTTTGTGACATTTTTAAGGCCAAATTGTAAATTGATTCATTTAGAAGAATTATCATGAAATGACAAAGTACTTATAACTCAAGTAAGAAATAAGGAAAACTGTTCCCATTACTAATTAGTAATACTGATGCAGGTTGGAGTTGGGGATACATATTTTGTTGTTGTAAATATTAAAGCATGAACACCGAAAGACCTTGAGACAGTCCTTCTTCTTAGTTTTTTTAAACGTACGCACTACACCAGTAATTATTTTTGCATCTTAAAATAAACACAGTGGTTCAACAAAAGGCATGAAAGGTTTGGACCCTGCTGGGTGCCAGCTACTTCACCGATAAGCGACTCTATTTTAGGGCCGTTATGTGACAGCGTTCCTACGGTGACTGCAGAAAGACTACAATGTCAAAGGGACTGTGGAGTTAGGAGGCATTAAAGGGTCCAGGAAGTACATTTACTTAAGTACTGTGAAGGATGGACTATTGTTCACACTGTAATGTTGCTACTTTCACTTAATTATAACAATAATAATCTAAGTACTTCCTTCCCCTCTGAAGTGTTATACTTTATATTAAATGACACACGTTTAGTGGTAGTATTTTGATAATCTATGAATATATTATAAAATGTAGTAAAAAAAAAAGGGGAATACCGTCATCTTCCTCTACTTCAGTTGCAGCGTATTCCTCATCATCTTCATCATCCTCATCAGCCTCCTCTTCCTCAGCCAACTCTTCCTCATCATCATCATCGCTGGCTTCCTCTGCCTCTTCAGATGCCTCCTCCTCCTCCTCTGCTGCATCCTCTTCGTCGTCATCATCAGCTGCGGCCTCCACATCCTCCTCCTCCTCCTCCTCCTCATCATCATCATCATCATCATCATCATCATCGTCCTCCTCAGTAGCCTGTTCTTCCTCCTCTGCTTCATCTTCAGCAGTCTCCTCTTCGTCATCGTCCTCCTCCTCATCAGCAGCCTCCTCTGCGACCTCTTCTTCCTCCTCCTCCTCCTCCTCTGCTTCCTCAGCAGTCTCCTCTTCCTCCTCCTCTGCCTCCTCAGCAGTCTCCTCTTCCTCCTCCTCTGCCTCCTCAGCAGTCTCCTCTTCCGCCTCATCCTCTTCCTCATCTTCCTCAGCTGCCACCTCTTCCTCCTCCTCCTCCTCCTCATCCTCATCCTCCTCCTGTTCATCCGACTCTTCCTCATCGTCATCTTCCGTTAGATGTTCCTCTTCATCACCCGCGCCATCATCACCCTCAGCAGTTTCTCCCTCTTCAGCTACCACCGCCTCCACATATCTGGCGTAGAGGCCTTCCCCTGCCTCCCCCACCTCATGGGCACTCACCCCCCCAGAGAGAGGGGTCTGAGACGGGCAGAGGAGGACCAGCAGGAGCCCCACCATCCAGCCTTTCACAGGAGACATTTTGGAAAAAACTCAAAAGGTTTGGAGCTACTTCTGAACAAAAAATCCACAAGTCTCCTGACCCTGTTTCCTCCACCAAAATATACAAAAATCTGAGTTTTTAACACTTAAAAAACATTAAATCCACAGGAAAGGTGAGAGAGTTGCAGGTGGTGCGAGGATATGGTTCAGCTCAACAGACCAACAGAGCAGAGTGCCAGCCTTGTGCCTGGAACACAGTGGAAACACAACTGGGTGTGTGGTGGAGTAGCATATGTGCCTGAGTGACAGGGGCACATGGGTGGGAAGAATGCTCCTGATGCCCTTAACCCAGTGTATTAGAGAGGTGGGTGTGTGCTTAGGGGAGACAGGGGGGGGTTGTACCGCGGGAGGGAGGGGGGTAAGGGGTAAAAGAACATAAGAAAATGAAGCGGAAGGAGCAGATCGTTTACCAATATTAAATAATCCAATTGAAGTGGATTAGGTCTTCATTTCAAGTGCTACAGCTATTCGGGAGATAATCTTTACTTACATCTATGGGTATATATGCACACTGTTATTTATTTAACTTTGAGTATATATATTTTTTTTTCAGTTGTTGAAATGTACTTTCAGTCTGTCTGTAAATCCCCCAGCACAAAAGCAGTCCAATAAAGAATACATTTATAAAATATACCATAAAAAGATACTACAGTTCTATTTTATTTGTATTTACTTGCACATCTCAAAACATTCTCTTGCACTATTTCATCTGTTTTATGTCCTATATATATTCATGTTGTACTGCTGGATAAGCCTGGGACTTAAGTTTATCATTGCCATATATACACTGTAGCTAATGTGCACATCACAATAAAACCTTGAATCTTGAAAAAATTAGACTCATGCAGGCAACAAATTGTATTTACACTCTCCAAAGGCTTTGACTTTCCCTGATTATTCTCTATTAAAGCTGTGGGAGGTGTAATCAGGGGCATTCATACACTCCCTTTCTTTAATTGAATCTATAAATAAACCTGGCTGAAACTCAGGACTGCATTTGCACAAAGCTCCATTGCACAAATAGATTATTTTAAACTATGGTCTCATGAAAGTGATAACACAAATGATTGTAATATTAGTAAGTAATAATCCCTTTTCTGTTGGCTTATGGGGTTAAACTAACACCTATCAGACACAGTCTCATCAGAGAGTCGATATTTGCTTGCCTGTCCCTTAGCAGAGAACATGTCAGGATGATGTATGAAATGGATGTAAATAGACAGAAATGGATATGATGGCGGTCTGCACATGTGCAGCAACTGCCATTCCCAAGAAATTCTTTATGTTTTAAGAACAGAATGATTATTACGGGTTTTCCTTATGCAGATAAGAAACAGTAAGGACAGTTTGTGTTAATTGCGTTGCAGATCGTGTGTAAAAGGAAGCATCAAATGTAGCCTACTCAGAAACTGAACCGTGACACACATGCTCACATACATGGGTTCATGTCTGCACATGAGAGGGGGGGGGGGGGACAGAAAGTGATGACACTGCCTCTCTCTGTGCGACCCGCTGCTGCGATTGACAGGTGGCCCAGCCGGCTATTTACAGTGAAGCCTCCTTCAATAGCCCTGCTCCACTATGTGACCTTCAATAGAGCTCCGGCAATCTGAAACTCAGCACCACGTACACCTTTCACACTTACATATCCCCTTCTATCTACAGTATATCAAACTACCTCACTCTTATGTTTAAGTCACAATTTCCCTCAGTGATTCATGGGATTATCCAGTAGTTCAATGTTTGACCTTTGACCTGACGCGTCGCTCCAGAGAGTGTAGCTCAAGGAATAGTTCAGTCTGTAACTGACACTGATTAACATGTGTCTTGAGTCAGGGTAGCTGTTGCCATTTTGTTTAAAGTATTTGTGCTAAAGCTAACTATCTATGCTAGCTCTTGAGAGTGGATGTCGTGTACTGTATGTCACAAAATGTCCCCCTAAAGGGTTAATCCGTTAGCATAGTTGACTCCTTATACCATTTTTTACAATTTATTGAACATAATAAAATAATGTTGCAATACAAAAACGTGATTCAACATTTAAGTTTTCCCGAACATAAAAGTATTAAACAGTAATGTGTCCTATTGTAGTTTTAATATTGCAGTAAAACCCCATATAAAAACCTTTGAAACAGTATTCCAGGAATAAAAACATGATAGCATTGACAAACAAAATACAGACAATATGTCATGCTACATCTTAAATACATATAATTTACTTTGTAATTGGAATAATGTAACAAGTGCTACTACACTCCAGTTCAGAACAATTAAACTACTTGAAGTGAGTCCAGTGATGAACATGGCAGTGGGAAGCATGGGAGCAGCCAAAGTAAAAACACTTGTCTTTTATCGACCCTGAGCAAGTGAAGGCATCACCAAGGCTGGATCAGGCAGTGTGGGAAGAGGAGGGGAACGCCTCTGTGAAACAGAACACGGTAAGTTAAACATGAATGACTTAAGGCAAAAACCAACAGGAAATAATCTAAGAAGAAAAATGTATGCTGTGATTTTGTACCTCTTGTTGTAGGAGGAGGCCGAGGAGGTTTGAACGTGCTGCCTTGTGCCAAAGTATCCACAATCCAGCTGAGAGCACTCGAGCAGTACTCCATCTGAGATGAAAGATCAGAAGAAGAGATCAGAAGAGAGAAAATCTGTGTGTTTACATGCAGTACACACCTGAGGTGAGGATCTATTATTTGGGAATACCATGAAGTTATCTAAGGCTACATGTTGAAGTTTCCTGGTCATTTTGCATGTGTGTGATTTCGCCTTAATTACATACCTGCCAACCCTACCGATTTGGACGGTAGTCTACCGCTTTTGACATGTTTCTACCGCCTACCGACTTAGCTGACTTTCCCTGCCGATTTTCAATCTTCCCAAAGTATAACAAATAAAAATGACACTCCATAGACACGGGACTCGACTTTTGGCGCACACCGTTTGCACCGTGTCTGTGATCGCATCATACAAACAGTCCTCTGTGTTTCTGAAAGAGAAACAACGTGCAGACCGGGGGTAACGCTATAGAAAAGCGTTACCTCCGAGGCTGATGGGTAATCACTCCCAAATTAGTTTAAGGGAACAGAGACGAGGCATTTGAGTCCTGCAGGGTTTCCCCGTTAATATCAGTGTCTCGAAAACACATATTGGCGACTGAAAGACATCCAGTGTTTGGTCTTTTCCTGAAGCATCCTTCACCTACAGTGTCTCAAATGAAAGAGGACCACAAACACACAAAAAATATAATCAGATTTGGGGATATCATTTGAGATTTGGGGATATTTATCTCCCATTCTTTCACTTTTTCTGACATTTTCAACACCAAACATGTCGTTAATGTCTCTGTTTAGTGAACTACAGCAATCTGAAAGCCTGTACATTATTTATATCACACTGCAAAAACATGCAGGAAATTACTTTTTTTATTGCAGTATTTTCTGATTTATGGCTCAACACAAAGATATTTCGCTCTGTGCAAACCTTTGACTCTAATATGTCTACAACATGAAAGAAGAATATGAACCTGGCTTTATCCAATGTTCACACAAGAGTTCTACATCCTGACACATCTACACTGTCTCTATAGAAAGAGGACCAGAAACACATTAAAAATATAATAAAATGTGGAGACTTTGGGATATTTATCTCCCATTCTTTTACTTTTCGGGCATTTTACATACAAAACATGTCGTTGATGTCACTGTTTACCAAACAGCATGAAATTATGCAATATATGTTAAATACATGGTTTATACATGTAATTAGTGGGGTTCCATTTCTTCTGATTACCTAATTTGGGCGTGCGCATTTGCCTCGCGCAAACCTACCTCTTTTGGATTCGGAAAGGTTGGCATGTATGTAATTATGCAAGCAGATCATTACAAAAGAAACGAGGGTTCTAGTTGATATCATGCAGTCCCATTTGAACCTTAACTGAAAGTAATAGTTTGACATTTTGGGAAACCTCATACCAACCTGTTAAATATGAAGCTATCGCAAGCAGCCAGTTAGCTTAGCTTAGCATAAAGACTGGTAGCAAGTGGAAACAGCTAGCCTGGCTCTTTCTAAAACGGAAATCTAGAAACCAGCACCAGCTCACTAGATTTACACCTATCTTCTTTTTTTTTTTATCTGTACAGAAAACGATACAAAAAAGTCCCTCAACCAACGGAGACTCAGGGAAATTATTGGTTCAAACCAAGACATACCGGGTCATAAAACCCCAAGAGAAAACTGTGCATTTTTACACTTTACACTAGCTGCCCTCGTAATGCTAAGCAAACCCAGTTAGTTGCAGTAGCTTCATATTTAACGTACAAACAAAAGTAGAATAAATACTGTCATCTAACTCTCAGCAATTAGCAAATAAGACTATTTTCCAAATTGGCAAACTATTCCTTTAAAAAATATGTGTGATTTTCCTCACATATGAAATAATGCATATTGTGATATCAATATCAAAACATGGTGTTCTAGTTGTCGGGATGCATATCATCCTGCCCTGCTATATCTAGCTGGCTGACATTTATGTTACCTTTGTATAGGATAAGTTGACTGAGTGCAAGACATGATGTGAAAGTATCAAAAACAACACAAATGGTACAGAATAATAATCTCAGTGAGAGTCAATACTTTAAAAAGGTGCTATCATTTCACCTCATTCTCCAGAGCCCTCAGCCTGTGGTCGAAGTCTCTGCCTTCACTCATGTGTTTAAGTACACCATCCACTCTAAAAAGAAAAAAAAGGACACATTCACCGTTATGTTATTACTGATTATGTATTATGGAGCATGACATAAATAATTACATTGCCATAGTGTTGGTATAGGGAGGTATGCTCACTTGACAGACATCTGTTTGAGCCTCTCACTGTCACTGCTCTTCTGGATCTTGTTCTGGGCGGTCAGGAAGTCCTCCTTCTGAATGGTTTCCCACGTCATGAGCCTGTTGGCTGCTTTCCCTTTTAACTGCAATACTAATAGAAAACAGAAGGATTTTTTGCTTACAAGTTGAAGATGATGTTGGAGTTACAATGACACAGTCCTGTTACATGACACGATTCGAGGAAAGTGACTAAATTGGGGTGAAAAGGCAGTTTTTAAAAGGCAGCCAACTGGGAGTCAAATGTGTTGGTGCATTTGGGAAACATAAATCTAAATTAAAAGGCAGCCAACTGGGAGTCAAATGTGTTGGTGCATTTGGGAAACAATTTTTTATATTAAT